CTGGAGGGAGAGAAGGTGACAAAACAAGCCACCAGATCCAGGACTCAAACCATGGTCAGCTATGTGGGAGTTCAGCACCTTAACCACCATTCCACGTGCCAGCCCCTATGATTTTTTTTTAATTCTTCTGTTTTTTTTTAATTATTTTTTTAATTTCTTCCATGAGAGAGAGGCAGAAAGACAGAGAGAGAGAGAGAGAAAGAGATGAAGAAAGGGGTGGGTCATCCCTGCCAGGGTCTTTATGCTGTGACCCACCCCTTTATCAGATGGTCCAGATAATAGGCATGCATGCATATAGAAAGGTCGTGAGACATGAACTGAGGACCTCTCCCATGTGAATCCAATTGCATTACCACTGTATTAACACCTAGTCTTGTTTGTGTTTTAAATGAAGCAACAGACAACTAATAAATCTGCCCTTTAGCCTTAAAGTTTGATGAAAACATTCCTAATCCAGGATTCTGAGGTACAGTGAGGATTTACTGGGTAATGCAGGAGAAAATGCTAATAAGCTTCTTTTAAATTGGAGAAAGGTGTCTGTTGTTTGAGAGCATGGGTTAGCTATTCATGCCACTTATCGAGTATTTCCAGCTCTTCCCAACTCTGGACACATGACAGCCCAGACTATCTGTCTCACTTGGTGTGATCCTTGTTTCATGGACCATGTGCATCTTGTTGGCCGATGAGATGGAAGCAGAGATAGTGTGTCTCATTCTAGGCTGGGGCACTTGACCAGTCCAAGACTCTCCAGGGTGCTCTTTGCCTCTGTGACAGTGGGAAGCAATCATACTGATAGCCCGGGTGCTTGAGAGAAGACATGTGGGGCAGATCCCAATCTCTGAACCTGGGGGATCTGTTGTGTGAGTAAAAAATAAACCTGTGTTATTTTAAAACATAATTTTTATGGTGGTTACTACACCCTAACTTAGCCTGTGCTGACTTAAATGGGGAATTATTGAAGCACCCAGTCCAAAAAGACAGTCGGAGACCCAGAAATAAGAAGATAAAAAGATAGGAGGCCATACAATGTTATGTTTTCATATGTATAAGTTATTTCTATTTTTCCTGTTTTTATAATGGAGAGAAAGAGCATCAGGTTAATAGGAAGATGTGTGCTGAATCCTCAGGTTGATTGGTTTGAAGGTCCTCTTAAAAATAGTTTAGATGGGTTCTGGGGCAAACGCTAAACTTAGAGCTTAAGAATAGAGGTTCTGGTGAAATGTTCTCTGGGAAATTAACAGGAATTCCATGCTAACAAGTTTGGATTTTGAAGATAAAAATACCACTGGATCTGTGAATTAGTGAGATTCTTAAAGAAATCTATAAATGAAGTTAACCCTATGCATATCTTTTCAAAGTGTTAGTCTGCATGAATAAAGTATAGCCAAGGAAATGGAAGAGTGAGAGATCTCTTGACTTTAGCACCTAATAACTCTTTTTTTTTTTTTTTTTTTTGAGTGGTTTTTTCTTTTCACAGCGGGAGAC